ATGGGAGGTTGCCTGTATGACTAGAAAAAGAGCCAATCATCATTACATAGGAATGGACTTGGATTACTGCAGGAGCTGGCGCCAGGCACATGCACATCTCACCCAAATTCCATCTCATATGCAAGGAAAGGAAGCAGAGCATGTGAGGTCTGTATGCCACAGCCCACTTCTAGCTTCTGGAAGTGGTCCAAGCCTGAAACTGTGAAAAGAATGGTTCTTTCACTGATTGCTTTACAAAAATAGCTGCCTGGCCTGGCAGCCTCCTTGCTTTTTTTCTTGGCTGGCACCTTCTCATTCACTCTCACTTGAGCCAGTGAGCAAAACAGCTCAGTAATTGAAATTGCGTAATTTATCCCTGATTGTCATCACTTAATGTACTTATCTTTGCATGATACATGCCCATAAAAAAGATATATAGGCAAGTAATCAGGTTAGTCCTATAGGCTACAAAATGGAATAACTAATATATCCTTACAACCCCCATGGGATAGTTCTGTGGCTTTTAAAAAGACTTTTCATCTGCTAAGCATACATTCTACCCTTTGAGGTATTTTGGCAATATATACTCTATGGCTGCGTCTAGATTGGCATGATTTTGCGCAAAAGTGGCCGCTTTTGTGCAAAATCTTGCCGCCTGTCTATGCTGGCTACTGACTTTGTAATGTACAAAATCAGTGGTTCTTGTGCAAATACTCTGATGCTCCCACTCAGGGATAAGCCCTCTTGCACAAGTATTCTTGTGCAAGAGGGCCAGTGTAGACAGCAACATTAATTTCTCGCGCAAGAAAGCCTAATGGTTAAAATGGCCACCGGAGCTTTCTTGCGCAAGAGAGCATCTACACTGGCACGGATGCTTTTGCGCAAAAGCAAATCTTTTGCGCAAAGGCACATGCCAGTATAGACGCTGTCTTGCGAAAATACTTTTAACGGAAAAACTTTTCCGTTAAAAGTATTTACGCAAAATCATGCCAGTCTAGACGCAGCCTATGACTTCAGCATAAGCAGCATAATTATGTGCAGAAACCTAAATTAGTAAAACCTAGCTGGTAACCTAGACACCATTAACAAAATTGCATTTATTGAAAATCCTAAACAAAAAGATTCATCTTACAGTGTTCTGTAAAGATTGCCAGGGTTGGGCTCAGATATTTAGTGGGAATCTATTCCCAAAGTGAGGATAAGAAAGTCCTGTCCCTCACTATCACTGGCTTCAAACTCTTTGTGAAACAGCTGGCCAAAATACTCCCTTAAAGACATATCTCAGCCTCTAAGATAATGGGGACTGGAAAGCTTAAAAGCTTTTTAGTATGCAAGCAGGACCTTGAATTAGAACTGGAAGTCAGTGCAGAGCACCTGTGTAAAAATGTTTTTCTCAGTCTATCCTACTTATTTTGAATTATTAGCTGAAACACTTGGGTAAGCCCAAAAGTAAGCTTAAAAGTAAGCCCCAGGAAGCGTGTTAATGGATGTACCTAATTGTTTAATTTGTAATGAAAAAAGTTCTGGGACTCAAGCATTTTTTTACTTTCATAACTGATGGGGCAAGCCCAAAAGTGCTCGGGCTGTGAGCTGCCAAGCCTAGAGGTGCCAGGGCTCAGCACTGGTAAGCCCTGATGCAAATTCAGCACTTGTGTACCTACATTATTAAAACCAGCCTCTGGAAAGTAGTCATAATATCAATTACTGTTAATTTAAGGACTGGAATACACCAAATATGGGTATTTTCATGCATTTTGGGAACTGCAGTGAAGCAATACTGTAGAAGGCAACTTACTCCAGCCATTGTCTAATTGAATACCGCATGCAGATGTGATTGGCCCATCTCAAATAAGATATATTGGAACTGGAAAATGTTCAGAAAAGGACAACAAAAATGATTAGGGGTACACAGCAGCTTCCGTATGAAGAAAGATTAATAAGACTGGGAGTTTTCAGCTTGAAAAAGACATGACTAAGCGGGAATATGATAGAGGTCTATAAAATCATGTTTGGAGTGGAGAGAGTAAATAAGGTCATGTTATTTACTCCTCATAACAAAAGAACTAGGGGTCACCAAATAAAATGAATAGGCAGCAGGTTTAAAGCAAACAAAAGGAAGTATTTTTAAACACAATGCACAGTCAGCTTTTGGAACTCTTTGCCAGAGAATGTTCTGAAGGCCAAGACTGTAACAGGATTCAAAAAATAACTGGATTAAGTTCATGGAGAATAGGTCCATCAATGGCTGTTAGTCAGGATGGAGAGAGATGGTGCCTCTGTTTGTCAGAAGCTGGTAATGGGCACCTGCCATTGGTCAGCGTGGGAAGACAAGATAATGGGCTAGATAGACCTTTGATCTGACCGAGTATGGCCATTTTTATATTCTTATTTGTACAGCACAGGAATAATTTTGATTTATTATTGGTTGGTAATAATGGCAGAAATCTCAACATATGAGTGTATTGTATGGTTGCAGGGATATGTAAAAATTAATA